ACTCGAGAAATCCATTGTGCTGCGACTTCAGATTGTCGGACTAGGGAAGGAGAAAAAAGAGGAGGTGGGGTGGTTGGGATGAATATTAGAAGGTCAGGGACAGGAGGCAATTAAAGGGGGCAACGTCTGCCGAAGTAGATGGCAAAAAGGCAGTTCGCCAAGGGCGGTCGTACTACTCTGTGCGTTTAAATAAAAGTAACTTTTCTGTCCAGCAGATGGTGAGGGGGACTGTTTTTATTTTATAGTTAGGCGAACTGCGACGATTCTATCAGTGGTCGCATTGACCGTACCTTGCGACCATCGTCTACGCGCTCCCTAAGCATTCTCCCTGGTTGAGGAGAAGGAGGTTCGATCGCTGGGACAACACTTTTATTCGCCTGAAGTTTCAATCTCCCTCGCGGATTCTTCGATCATGGTTCATGAGCCCCAAATCTAGAAACTAGTGCAACGACTGGTTTAATCCATATTCGGTGCTGAGGCTCAATTTGGCCAAAGCAAGTGGTCACTTGGGGAACGCGCAGGCCACCGCGTCGTCTTACGCTAACACTGGGTAACCAGATGGCCGAATAATCATGACGTCCAATTCCACCACGCGTGATGCAAATTCAGCAGGTCACGGCCTGCATACCGGTCCTCAAGAAATCCACACACAAGAGGGCAATTATCGTTAATTGTCGTTATTTGCTTTACGTGTATCATATGAATACTGCAACGTCTAGTGCATGTATCACCCGTTTCTGGTACTATTTTCTGCTCATGGCTCTGATGAGGAATCCGCGACAGAGGCGACTAAAAGTGTTGTCCCAACCATCGAATGTTCTTCTTCTGAATTACTTCCTGGGACTCGCATATTCGCTTGCATTGACAATTCTCCCTTGTGTCTACCCGCAATGGATTGTCGACGATCTTGGCAAGTACTTTTATTTTCGCCAGCTTGTCGGCGGATTTTGCAATCAGTAGGGGAGTATCCGACAGCATATTCCACACTTCGGTGACGATTTCCGTGACCTCTGCGACCTCCTCTCCGTTTTGACCTAGCGTACTGTCCTCCCATGAGCGATAGTTTTTTCACTTAAAAAACTCCCAAGTAATGTTTTTCGCTTTCCGCTCTATTTTCCATTGTCCTGCTTCATTGGTCCGTGTCACTTGGCATCACACTTAAGGTGAAGTACTGTTTTTGTTTAATACCACAACATGCATGTAAGCAAATAGGGAGTTCCAAGATTCCCACCTACATATTCCTCAAATAAACTGCATTAAACCGAACTTTACTTTTCAAAAACATATCATTAACATATGCGAGTTCCGAGGAACTCCTCCTCACGTATAGTCTGGCACGTGTAAATTTGAGACCTGGGTCGCGTGTGCAGTCGGCATAGGTGGACTGTTCAGTTCTGTTAGGCCTATTCCCGGTTGTCCAGACTTTAGCTTGTTGTTGAAGCAGACTGAGGTGGAGAATTAGGTCTGCTTCATTAAAAA